TGGACTGAACAGTGCTTTCTAGATTGAAGTCCTTGAGGATAGAGCTGCATTTTGTTTCTTTGGGGCACTTAAGCAGTGTCTAGTAACTTAAATGCCTTAGGTGGGTTTGGGCTCATAATGACCCTATTATAACACACTGCCTGGTCCTCCATCCTTAAGAGTTGTGCCGTGCTTGAGCTTTTGTTACAGCCTCTGTCAATCCATCTTGTTGAGGGTTGTCTTCTATCTTACGCCTTACCTTAGGAAGCATAATTTTTCCAGGGGCTAGCCCTTCCTGAAGATCCCTGGTGGGTCCTTGAGTTAACTAAGCTTTGGGCTGGTAACCAACCACTAGATCCTCTTTGGTTGTGTCATTTGCATATCGGGCTGTTAATGAGCTTTCTGCCAATCCTGTCTTTACATTCGACCTATAGTATAGAACGTCTCATTTATTTAGCATATCTGAGCAAATAAGTATGCTGGGAAGGACACACCTGTCACACACCACCTCTGATTTTAAACCAAGCTGTAGCTCCCTGTTCTTTTCTTCGAATGGCCGGGCGAAGTTCCTCATGAGCACAATGGAATATTTTGGAATTCCCATTCTTCCAGTGTATCCATAATTTATCTTTATTAGAGGAATAAACAAGACCTTTGCACCTGGTATCCTTTTTTTGTAAGCTCAGTGGTTTGTAGGGGACTAGAAAAAATGGGGTCAGGGTGGAATAAACAACAAAGAAACAGTACTTTTATTTGAATAGTTGCCTAAAGTGAATTAATAGTGTTAATCACATGGTATATCTGCACTACATTCGTGATTGTACAAACTCCCTGAAGGTTTATTTAATAAGAAAGGGGATTGTGTCTACTATTAAAATCAGTCCTTTTTTTTTAAAACTTTATGTGAATCAGGTGAATGTTGACAGCAGTTCAGTTTCTCATTCAACAATTCATAACAATTTCATCTGATTACAGTCCTAACAATATAACTTCAGTTATCCCACTTTACTCTGTTTTCTGTATCCATTCATCCTTTCTTAACTTCTTCTGCCTTATATACTTAAGTAAATGCTGCCCTTTTGGTATCAAATGGTTAATTCTAAGGTAGTAGTGCCTCACTGGTGTATTATTGACCTGTAGGGCTTCATATTTTGTTGTTGTTGTCGTCGTTTTATATTATTGACTGTAAATTGAGTGTGCAGGGGATGACATGGGGTAGACCTTAAGATAAGGTGACCAGATCTTATCATTGGTAAAGCGGGACACCATTGACAAAACTCATATATAAGTGTGTAATTGGTACTCACCATAACAGGATAATGGAACATTGTGCATAATTTTGCCTCCTTTATGCTCCACGAGCCAGGAATTCTGTATATTTACAGCAAAAGTAAAATTCCCAGGTACAAATATCCTGTGTCAAGCAAATATATAATCATGCCACACCAATTCATCCTACATGTCTATATATGCATTTTCTTAAAAATCACCATTGCAGGAAAACAACAGTCACCTAAAACTCATGTACTTTCCCAGTGGCTACCCTTGCTCATTATCAAAGAATGTTTCTTTTGGCTTATGACCATTTTTCTTCTCTTTTTTTAAAAAATTACAATAGTGGTATCAGCAGTGTTTGTCCTTCACTCACGATTTGTCTGTCAGTACTGTGATGGCTTGTGTTTTGCTATGATGCCAGTGTCACTGGTACCTCAAATGCCAGTAGCCAGGGTCACCCAAAGTGAATAGATTACAGCAGAGCTTCCAGTTTAAGTACAGACTACGAAAAAGGAAGAAGATGAGTTGACCACTGAAAATCTTATAACAGGAGAACACTGTCAGATACTGTGCCAAAGATGAGCCCCTCGGGTCGGAAGGCACTCAAAATATGACTGAGGAAGAGCTGCCGTCTCAAAAGTGTTTTGACTGGTGTCGATGGAGTAAAACCTTCGGGACCTTTATTTGCTGATGGGGCATGACTCAAAATGAGAAGAAACAGCTACAAAATATCCATTAGTAATTGGAACTTGGCATGTGTGAATCTTACAAAATTGAAAGTCATCAAAATGAGATGGAATTCATCAAGATCAATGTCCTAGGCATCAGTGAGTGGAAATAGATTGGTATTGGCCTTTTTTAGGTCAGAAAATCATAAGGCTTACTATGCTGGGAAGGATAGATTCAGGAGGTGGAACGTTGCCATTCATCATCAAGGACTTTTTTTTTTAATCATTTTATTTGGAGCTCTTAAAGCTCTTATCACAATCCATACATATATCCATTGTGTCCAGCACATTTGTACATATGTTGCCTTCATTTTCAAAACATTTTCTTTCTACTTGAGCTCTTGGTATCAGCTTATTCCCCCTTCCCCCACCCTTTCTCCCTCATGAATCCTTGATAATTTGTAAGTTGTTATTTTTTTCATATCTTACAGAGACCACTGTCTCCCTTCATCCACCACTTTTCTGTTGCCCACCAAGGGGTGGGGTGGTGATGGTTATATGTCGATCATTGTGATCAGTTCCTCCTTTCTCCCTCCACCTTACTCATACCCTCCTGGTATTGCTACTCTCATTATTGATCCTGAGGGGTTTATTTGTTGTGGATTGCTCTTGTCTGTATAGTGTACATCCTCTGCTCTAGCTGGATTTGTAAGGTAGAATTGGGATCATGATAGTGGTGGGGGGCAGGTAGCATTAAAGAACTAGAGAAAAGTTGTATGTTTCATCTGTGCTATACTGCACCCTGACTGACTCGTCTCTTCCTTGTGACCCTTCTGTAAGGAGGTGTCCAGTTGGCTACAGATGGGTTTTGGGTCTCCACTCCGCACTCCACCTCATTCACAATAAGAGTTTTTGTTCTTTGATTCCTGATCCCTGATCCCATTGAGACCTCATGATCACACAGGCTGGTGTGCTTCTTCCATGTGGGCTTTGTTGCCTCCCAACTAGATGGTGCTTGTTTATCTTCAAGCCTTTAAGACTCCAGACCTTTTGATAGCCAGGCATCATCAGCTTTCTTCACCACATTTGCTTGTGCTCCCATTTTGTCTTCAGTGATTGAGTCGGGAAGGTGAGCATCATGGAATGCTGGGTTATTAGAACAAAGTGTTCTTGTGTTGAGGCAGTACTTGAATGGAGGCCCAATGTCCATCTGCTGCCTTGATACTTAAATATATGTACATAGGCCTATTGCCCCATCATCATATATAAATATATTTACATATGTACATTCCTGTATTTAGATCTCTATAAATGTCCCTTGCCTCCTAGTTCTTTCCTCTATTTCCTTTTACTTTCCTCTTGTCTCACCATCATGTTCGGCTTTCATTTGAGTTTCGATAATTCTTCTCGGCTACATTGCCCTTGATCAAGCCCCACCAAGCATCCTGTGTCGTCCTCATCTTCACTTGTCGATCCCTTGTCCATCTCTTGTCCCTGGATTTGTTGGCACCCTCCTTCCTTTCCCCCACCTCCCCCTCTTCTGGGACAGACACTGCCCGCCCGCCCCCCCAATTGTTAGTCTCTTTGTTTTCTCCTGATTATCCCCCCTATCTTATTTAGCTAGACATGCAGCAAAAATAATGAGTACAAACAAGACAAAGCACAACATAACAGGAAAAACCAACAGTAAAAAGAGAAATAGTTCCAGGTCTTTCTATTGACCTTTATGAGTATTTTCCAGTGTGATAGGGTGCCAGCCCTGGCCCCAGTCTATTTTTCGTGTTTCTTGGGGACTTTGTTGCTTTGCTTCCCTTGCTGCTCTGTTGCACGCCCTTAGGGTTTTGCCCTGATGTGGTGGGGTCAGATCGGGCACAGTTCCCACACTGTCCTGGTGGGGCTGCCCCTTATGGTCTTCTCTGCATTGGCTGCTCCCGGCTGGAATCTGGTCCTCAGGGCTTGGTGGGCCAGGAAGTGTCCAGTCTCTCCTTCCCTCTTCATTTGTTCAACGGACATTTTATATTTTGTGAGGTAAGGGTTCTGTTTTATTTTCCTGCAACTGGTTGCTCAGTTTTTCTGCCTTTTGCTACCTTTTTAGCCTTCTGTCAAAATCAGCTGTCTGTAGGTGAATGGATTTCCTTTTGGGACTCCATTCAGTTTAATTGGTCTTTATCTATATGTCTGTCATTTTTGCCAGTGTAGATGTTTTTGTGAGACCTACTTTGTGGGGTTTTTTTTCCCCCCAGTGGTGTTTTGCTGATTTGGAATATTGGGTGTTAAATGGATTGACGTTGTGATGTTGGAATCGTTCAGAATTGCATTATATCTTTAGATTGCTTGGGGTGATACTGCTGCTCTTTCTGTCCATGAGCATGGTATATTCTTCATTCAGGGTAGATCTCTTTCAAAAAATTTTTTTTGTCTTTACCTCCTTGGTTAACTTGTGACACATGAGTGGTAGGAATATTGGTATTTTTTGTACTTGGTTGTGGTCATTTTTATGATGAGGAAAGTTGGGCAATGGAAATAGGGAAGATGAAATTAGTTGTAGGGGAGGAAGCAAACAATTAATGGGAAAACCTATTTCCTGTTTCTTAGGCAAATCTTGTGTCAGAGATAAAGGACACAAATGGTTAAGTGCTCGACATTAAGCCAAAATGTTGGCAGTTCAGGCCCACTTGATGGCTAAGACAGACCTGACGCTCTGCTTCTGAAAGGTTACAGCTTTAAAACCCCTGTGAAGCGTTTTACTCTGAATACTTGGGTTCACCAATCTGAGACTGAAGTGACTAACCACCTTCAGAGATAAGGGTAGGGTGTGCTGGTACACTGTTAATATTTAATAAGATAAGGAGTGGCGGGGGATATATTGTTAATTATTTCTACTCTATTGAGAATGGCCAGTTTGGGTTATAACATTGTTTCAACTGTCTAAAGTAGGAATCATGGTAGTTTACGGGTGTGTGTGTACACACACTCTGCTTGTCAGCCAAGTCTTTGAAATAGTGGGAGAAAAGGGGAAATACAAAAAAAATTAGTATTTTTAGTCTCTAACTTGCTCCTCTTGGTTTTATCTTACAGGAATGACACCAAGGAAGATGTGTTTGTACACCAGGTGAGTGCTTGCGTAGATACGTAGAAAAATAGTGTGGTGGGTGCCTTTACCAACTATTTGCAAAAGGTTAATATGTAAGTCTAACCACTGAACAGTTTATAGTTCCTTCAAGAATAGTAGCATGCTTACATGTTGAAATACTTTGTTCATGATTCGCTTAATAAAAAACAGGTGCTTCAAATTAATGTTTTGTTAATGGCTATAGTTTTTCTTTTTAATGTTGAAGCTGCCTTTTCTCTGCATGAAATTCTCAAACCTAAATTTCAGATATAAGAATCTCCGTGGGTCTAACTTAAACTAATAAAGGTACTCTGAACATGCAAGCTGACAAGGCTAAGACCTGTTAGGTCTACTTCTGTGGCAAGGACAAATCACAGGAATCATGGGAGGAATAAGGCAAAGCTGCAGGGCATATAAATTTGAAAAGAGCACTCAACACTAGTAAGTCAACATTGGGAAAGCAAGTTGCTCCTGAACTGATTGACTCATTATAGTCCCAAGTGTGTCAGAGCAGCACAGTGTTGCATGGAGGGTTTGATGACTGGGGTTTTTGTTAGTAGATCATCCGGCCTGAAGCACTGCAGGGTGGACAAAAACCTCTATTTTGGTTCCAGTCAAATTCATTAACAGTTTACCATTCTGGGTTTCCAAATCCAATATAGGACCTTCTCTTTATGCTAAAGCACTTTGGGTTACATATAGAACCTTGTTTGAGAGCTTTGACTGGCTTAGAAAATTTTAAACTTTGTTAGTTGAGGTTAACTGAAAAGGCAATATGATGGCAAAGTTGCTACTTTTACTTTATTAGTTTGAGGGAAGAAAACTCTAGGACAAGTGCCACATACTGAGCTCGCTCCTAAAGTACTAGTTTTATACAGTGATCCAGATGTCAGAAGATGTGAAATCACTTTCCGCACCTCAAATCTCACACCTCTTTCCAGGTAGGTGTGATAAAAAAGGTACTGTGCTTTTTAGGAAGGATTTGGTGCTTTGTAGCTCTCTGGAGTATCTTATACAGCATTTAGTGGCAATCAAGTAGAAAGCCAGGCTAATTATTAGTATATAACAATAGCAAATAATCACAGGTAAAATGTGTAAGTATGAAAACATTTCCATTCTAACTGAATGTAGGGTACTCAGAACAATAGTTTTTAGAAACAAAGCAAAACGTGTTTATAAAATTTATATTCCTTTTGCTTGGGGTAGACAACTTCTCTCATGCCTGTTCAAGAGATGGTGCAAGCTTGGGAACAAGAGTGCAAAGCTGAACAGTTTGCTACATCTGAGCAACCAATCAACGGTTTGGGGTTGGGGGACATTGAGGGTGTTGACTAGAATTTGGAATTTCATTTGTCCGTATTATGCTGTCCTTCATGGTTTGCAGGTAATTCGAGAGTCGGTTGTATATATTAAAGATAAGAAAACTGCGGTACAGTTTAGATGACAGATGAGTTCGTTTATTTGACTGAACTTGTGTCACCCAGTTATATTGATTCATAGGGTGTCACCAATGTTTTCCTCTTTGGGAAGTGGTTTCCAGTTGTTTCTCAGGACTATTTCTGACTGTGCAGGTTTTGGCTGTGGATCAAAGGGACTGTGGTTCTAATTGCCCTCAGCTGTGTTGCCTGTCATGCCCCCTAGAATGGAAATGCATGCGTGGTCCTGTAGTAGATATCGCTGTGAGGGGGGGGGTGCAATGGGCTTGGGATTTGCAGTCCCAGGACCTGGGGTTAGAAGAGTCTCCGTGCTGCCACTGATTCACTGTGAGACTTTGGGCAAGCCACCTACTGTTTTAAAGCCTGTGTTATCTGTAAACAAAGGAGTGCTGATGTCTCATGTCATCTGTTGTACTGATGATTTGAGTTGGTAATGTGTGAAGGAAACTTGATAAAACTGTTAGTCTTCCCCTTTTGCTTTTCCCAAAGAGTCTGGAGGAAGTATAAGTAATATATCCATAACATGAGATTTATTATATCCTGGAGGAATAATAACCAAATTCCCAGTGCAGTCAGATAATAGAAAAAGTGGCATAGTTAATACATGTGATTTGCATTTCCATTGAACTTTGGAAGTGATTTTTGCCTGACATTTGTAATTGAATTTGATAATGGTAACCCCAGGGAGAAAGTTGGTTTGGTCAACCTTTGAAGCATGCAAAACCAAACTCACCTGTCATCTAAACTGACCCTGTGTGGGGCTAACATCTATTTTTAAGTGCAATCCGTAGGGGATAGATGGATATCCTCATTTTGTACAAAGCCACATATAATGCTTTTGCTAAAAGCATTTTTTTTAAAAGTAAATACACTTCTTCTTGATTGTTAAATTGCTTGTTTTGAAAATAGTGGTAAAATGCTTGGGCCTTGTAAGATTGGAGTATTTTGATTGAGGTTGGGGTGGCATTGGTGCCTGTTTTCCTTAACTTACTGACCGTCTGGTCTAACTATAAGCTAATTTAAAGAAAAAGTGTGTATCCAACCTAAAATAACATTGACTCTGGTACATTTTAAATGAAAAGAAAACCGTTATTCTCCCCTATTAATCTATTTTTGGAATGTGATATTACTAGACTGCCATAAAGAAGAATAACCCCAGGAAGTACCTTCGCAGTGTAGGAGATGGAGAGACTGTGGAGTTTGATGTTGTTGAAGGAGAAAAGGTGAGGATGCTTTTTGTGTAAAAGGTTTGACTTCAGTACAGAAATATTTTGGAGGTCTCATCCGTTTGAATGGTGGCTCTAATGTGGATAGATGGGTCAGGTGATCACACAAATTCAGGTGCATCATGCCCACTGTGCTGGCTGCAGTTAGAGGGCAATCTCTTCAAAATCACAAGGAATGGATATGGACTGATTTTTGTATGTGCTGTTGGATATGCAGACTTTTAAATTTGCTTAATGTGAATTTTGTGGGGAATATACAAATGAATTTTGTGACTACCAATGTGTAATGACTTTTTTAGGGTGCGGAGGCAGCAAATGTTACCGGTCCTGGTGGCGTTCCAGTGCAAGGCAGTAAATATGCAGCAGACCGTAACCATTATAGGCGTTACCCACGTCGTAGGGGTCCTCCACGCAATTACCAGCAGAATTACCAGAATAGTGAGAGTGGGGAAAAGAACGAGGGATCGGAGAGCGCTCCCGAAGGCCAGGCCCAACAGCGCCGGCCCTACCGCAGGCGACGGTTCCCACCTTACTACATGCGGAGACCCTATGGGCGTCGACCACAGTATTCCAACCCTCCTGTGCAAGGAGAAGTGATGGAGGTATGTTTCACCAAGAGAGATCAACAATACAATTATGTTGACCTTTGGTAGCACTGTATTAACCAAAATCTAGAGGTTCTACGGGGGCTATTTTATTTTCATGAACATAATTTCTAATAGTATTATCAAATGAATGTTGGCATTTCCCCCATGGAATTTGAAGTGCATAATAGCTTTCATTATTTGTCCAAGCTATCAATGAGTGATAAGGGTCATCTGAAAATTGGAAAATTAATTAAGTAGATTAAACAAATACTTGGTTTTTGTCAAAAGACTAATATGGAAAGCAGTTTTTGATTCCTAATAAGCCAAACAATAATTAGAGTGTAATCAGGACTCAGAATGAATTGGGTCTTTGTTTAGGGACTCAAATGTGTCCAGACTTGGATTTATCTGGTTGTGTTTTTCTCTCCTATTACTTACCGATCCTATAGATTTGATTTGCGTTGTCTTTCCAGGGTGCTGACAACCAGGGTGCAGGAGAACAAGGTAGACCAGTGAGACAGAATATGTATCGAGGTTATAGACCAAGATTTCGCAGGTATGGTTCATATTAACCTGCTTCTACTAGAAATTTCTCAAGTGTATGTCATGGTATAACCATGGAAATCGGTGGCAACCTGCTTCCCTTGAGTCACCTGCTAATAACACTTATCAAAGAGGTGAATCTGCATTTTATCTTTGCTGGCATTGGTTAAAAACAGCTCTTTAACAAGAAAACCAAAACCAGCTCTTTATAGATGAGCTCTATCTTACTAGTTTTTTTTTTATGAAGGTATGGAACCAATAAGAAAATTTCTTTTAATGGGACTTGCTTCATTGGGAGAGAGGATCAAGGTTTAACAAATCATTTACTCATTAGGAGTAACTGAACTGCTCAGTAGGGTAAATGATCAGGATTTGTTAAATCTGTATGGAAGCAAGACAACCCTAACTTCTGAGGAGCTGTTGGTGGGTTTAAATTGCCAGCATTAGGTTCTCACCTAATCCACAGCACCATCAGGGCTCCTTATGGGGGCATTGTTTTGCAATTTTATCTTAAAATTTTTCCAGGAGGAGAAAAAAGCCAAGATAATTGGACGATAGTGGTAAAATGTGCAAAATTAAGAGTTTGGGTAAAAGACACATGGGAATTCTCAGCTTTTCAGAATATAAAGTTCAAAACATTTCAAAACTTAAAAAGCAGTTTTTGGTTATTATTAAGACATTTTCTTGAAACCCTACCTAGTTCCAGACTAGCATGAACAATGAGCAACCACATTACCTATTTGGACAGTGGAAATTACTTTTTAACATACGATGTTTAAATAATAAGATATGAAGCCACTAGGTGAAAATAAGTTCCATGAGCCAAACATGTTTTAATACGTTTTGAGATGGTTTCCATTCCCTAGGTGGGATGGGATAATGTGCTTCCTTGTTTCTGTCAAAGGTCCCATGAAAGCATCTCCCTAAAATCTGACAAGGGCAGGGCAGTAACTTGTCTTACATTGCCCGATGGTCATTTGCAAAGAGACACTTTAAGTATTTACTGTAGGCACCCAACTCTTGTGCTGAGTTTTTAATTCCTTGTGGGAGGAGGTCAGATGCGCACAGTCGCCAAACCAAGAGGTGGGCCTGCTCCCTACTGCTGGGGACAGTGAGCTAACGCTTGGGACCATTAGCTTGGTTCTGTAGGTGGGGTTTACACCCTACTGATAATGGTTCCTATGGAGACCCAGAGAACAGGTCAAAGTTAAGCTGCCATCCTAAATCTAAGATGCGCCCATCTTGTCACATGTATACCCCCAATCCCTCCTCTTTCTGTTGCGTGTATGTCCCTAGACCACCCCCTCTCATTGCTGTATAACCTATGGTGCAACCCCTTCCTGTGACGTATGTCTACCTGTAATTAGTGGGCTTGCACGCCTCAAAGGTATATTGGCGTGTGTCAGCAGTAGAGCTCTCTCTCTTGCTGGGCTCCTCCTCGCACCCAGTTTCTCCCTTGTTCCCTTACCCTCCTTCCCTTCCCCCTCTCTCCACGTGGGCCACAAAGCTGGGCTGAGGTGAGCAATGCTACCATGTGATGTGTCTGACTGCATTATTGTAATATCTCTTCTACCTCCCATGATCACGATGATTTTACATATATATCAACTGTACAATTGTGCTTACTGAACCCATGGGTAGTAGTAGTGGGGGGCTGGCTTACCCCCAAACCTAATACTACAATTCGTGAATGTGAACTCTCGAGCCCCAAGCGAAACCTGACTTCAGGAATATTTTTTTTATATCAGCGCACCGAGAGATTGTGTTAGCCATGTGCTAGATGCTGGGAGAAAGAAGCCTTCACAGTTCACTGGCAGGTTGTCCATAGAATCATTTGAGTAAAGATTGTTTGGGGAAGTTAGAATCTCTCTGCAGTTAGATGCATTAAGACTATGGGTGCGAACACGGAATCCTTGCTATTGTTTCCTTTTTTCATGCTGCTGTGGAACTGTTTGATTGTTACTTTACCTGGGAATTCTTTATTCAAATACATAGTAAATGAAATAGTTGATGGATGCTCTTGTTGCTAACATGAAAGCAACCCTGGATAAACAGCTTTGAATTGACCTCAGCTTTAGGTGTGAATATTAGTTTAGAATCTGTGCACTTCAATTACTATAAATAATAATTAGCTTTAGGTCCAGTGTTTTACCTTCTTGTGGGTGGGGGCTAAATCAGAAAAGTATCAGGATCTGAGCACTTACAATATCCCTGGCCTGGAAATTCGTGTACATGAATGTATATAAGCTTAGAATATTTATTTCTGTCCTTTTATAGAAAATGTTTGCCACCTCAAGGAACCAAGTGGGCTTGTGTTTGCATTACATTGAAGGAAGACAGTGTGCTATGTGTAAATAGAGGTCATGCTTTGTCTTACCAGCCTTTTTAAGGAATTTAGTTTTTCTCTTGGAGAAATGGAAGACTATTTGATGGATTTTATAATATGATTATACACTAAGGGGGATACCAGAAAAAAACCCTGTATTTAATTTTAGTTACAAAACAGTCTTATCAACTTCAAAGGACCATATATATTTGAGTGTAAGCCGACCCAAATATCAACTGAGGCACCTAATTTTACCACAAAACTGCATTTAACATGTGCTAGAAAACAGCTTATACTCGAATATATATGGTACTCTCCATTATACTTGATTACCTTTGTCGAATCTGCCATTCCATTCTTTTTTTTTTTTTTAATTAAAAAAAAATCATTTTATTAGGGGCTCATACAACTCTTATCACAATCCATACACACATCAATTGTGTGAAGCGCATTTGTACATTCATTGCCCTCATTAGTCTCGAAACATTTTCTCTCCACTTAAACCCCCGGCATTAGGTCCTCATTTTTCCCCTCCCTCCCCGCTCTCCCCTCCCTCATGAGCCCTTGATAGTTTATAAATTGTTATTTTGTCATTTCTTGCCCTGTCGGACATCTCCCTTCACCCACTTTAGTTCCTTGTAATCGGTTCCCTCTTTCCTACCCACTCTCCCTCTACCCTCCCTGTTTTGCCACTCACACCACTGGTCCTGTAGGGCGCATCCGCCCTGGATTCCCTGTATTTTCAGTTCCTTATCTGTACCAGTGTACCTCCTCTGGTCTAGCCAGACTTGCAAGGTTGAATTCGAGTCATGGTAGTGGGAGCGGGGAGGAAACATTTAGGAACTAGAGGAAAGTTGTATTTTTCATCGTTGCTACATCGCACCCTGACTGGCTCATCTCCCCGAGACCCATCTGCAAGGGGGTCTCCAGTGGCCTACTAATGGGCTTTGGATCTCCACTCCGCACTCCCCCCATCATTCACTATGGTAAGATTTTTTGTTCTGATGATGCCTTGTACCTGATCCCTTCGACACCTCGTGGTTGCATAGGCTGGTGTGCTTCTTGCATGTGGGCTTTGTTGCTTCTGAGCTTGATGGCCTCTCGATTACCTTCAAGTCTTTTAAGACCCCAGACGGAACAAGATGGGTCACCAGCAGCTCTACTGGAGGCACCCTTGGAAATTCGGCCAGGGCTCCCATTCTTGCGGCGTGTTCTCAAACCGGCACGGTCTGATCCGGACATATGGCCTCAATATGTGCGTCAGTGTTCCCGTCAGTCCGCGAAGGACATCGGCTTCATCAAGCTGGACTAAGTTACCTTTGGATGGACAATCCAAGACCGCTACCCAAAAGAAGAAACAATGCCAACTATTTGTACATAAAATTTAAAAAAATTCAAGCCTGGGGGAAAAAAAAAGAATAGCATGTCTCATCAGTAATGCCCTTGGGAAAAAAAGTCTGGGTCACTTCAGAGCTGTTCTTTGAAAGCACAGCATGTTTCCACTGCATGCACTTTTTCCTGGTGGGTCAGAACCTGGGCTCAAATTTTGCAACGACCCTTTTCCCAAATAAATCTTCCATTAAATTAGTTGAACCTGAGCTCCAGGATAGTCCAGATATCTTCCCCATCTCTTCAGTCTTTCGTTGTTGGTCTTGGAGCACAAGTGCATGAATTTTGTTGACATTTTCTTTTGTTTGGGAAATCAACAGACATCCAGAACAAGGTTTGTCCTCAATCGACATTTTATCCTTTTTGAAATGAGAAAAACACTTGTACACTTGAGTTTTTCCCATAGTACTGCCCTTACAAGCTGTGTTCAACATCACAACAGATTTTGCAGCATTTTTTCTGAGTGGAAAACAAAATTTCACAGCCACACGCTCACTGTCTCTTAAATCAGCCATCACAAGAAACGAGGTTCTAGCAAAACTGCTTTCGCAAAAAAAATACACTCACCAGAGAAAATCTTCCCAGGCAATGCCACTGGTTGCACTAACAGAGAGCGAGTTGTTTGATGCTCACCTCGTGGGAAAAATGCGGACGACAAAAGTGCTCAGCAGAGCTTTTTTGGGGTGGTGGGTGGGTGCCTTCTATTTAAAGGCCATACCCCCAAGGTGGAGGCATCATCAGGCTGTGACCACCTTGAGTTAGTTAATTGTGCCAGCCTGGCCGATAATCACACGTGGTGCTGGTTGAAAGGCGGAGGGATAAATGGGTGGTGAAGGCTCGCCTTTCTAGTTCTCGGGTCTCTTGTTTTGTGATGGTTGCATCGGGTGCAGCTGCCTTAGCAGTTCCCTGCTTCAGCTTGCAAGATTGACTTTCTACAAGACATCCCCAAGGAGAAGCTACATGGACCTATCCCGATGCAGCCCTGGGTGCTGGAGCAGCCGTGTGGAGACCCCTGCTAGTGCTGAGATGCTTGTTCGTTCACTGACTCAGTTCTCCTTCTGCAGTCGGCATCATTGCCTCTGTTTTGTGAGGTGGAGGACTTTGTGGACTAGTGTTGGGTTAATGGGTTAATGTTGGACTTGTGGGCTTGGGCAGCATTGGGTTGGGATGTTTTCGTGATGCACATTTTCTTTACATAAAACTCTCTCTTATACATGAGTCGCTGTGGATTTGCTTCTCCAAAGTACCTAGACTAATACACACCTGATTGATAGGTTGGACTCTATCCCTACACATTCATATAGGTGCAAGTTGACGGGGTTTTTTGGCAAAAACATTTTGCTGCTGGTAAAGGGAGACAGTTGATTGCAGAAAAGTGACTGAGATAAAAGTTCAGTAAAGAGATTAGCTTTTGCCAAGAAACTATGTTTCCATTAAACACATATTTAGATGCTTACTTCCCATTATTAGGAATATTTATCACTATTTGTAGACATGATTTGTATATGGGCATTTTCAGTTGTCTTGGGAATAGATAACTGGAAATGGAATTGGAGAACCTGCACATTTTACCACTCCCACCAGCATTGTCAGTTTTTAGTACAACCATCCTGATAGTTGTGAAGTATTATTTCATTGTAGTTTTTTGCCTCTTCTAAGGACTGAAACTTGGCTTTATTTGTATTAAGATGTGACAACTTTAGTTCTGATTGCCTGCCTATTTCAGCAAATGCTCATCTCATTCAGTCTGTAAAGATTAGTACTAGTCACAGGCCTGGCTACTAGAAGGTTCATTTGAAATATTTGCAAGTGACATTTAAAGTAAAGTGTCCACTTGTGTGGTTTGCTATTGGTTACACTGTAGTTAACTTTGTAATAGATATACTGTGGACCCGAAAAAGCTGATGCTTTAAAACTTGTTTTAAAATGCCCGTCTTCTAATGTAGATTTCTGTGTCCTTGTGCAAAATCATCCATCACTCAGTGTGTGAACTACAGAAAGTTTTTTGCCCTTTTGTTTGTTCTGGAGTGCTTGCAGGACCACTTGGCAGTTGAAAGGGTGGCCAGGCTTGGCCTTTTAGCTGAGTAAAGCTGTTAATATTATCAGGAACCCCAGAGGAATGGCTACAGAAAGTTTCCTTACAGTTGTGTGCAATGCTGATTCCAGGGGCCCTCCTCGCCAACGACAGCCTAGAGAGGATGGCAATGAAGAGGATAAGGAAAATCAAGATGAAACCCAAGGTCAGCAGCCACCTCAACGTCGGTACCGCCGCAACTTCAATTACCGACGTAGACGCCCAGATAACCCTAAACCACAAGATGGCAAAGAGACAAAAGCAGCCGATCCACCAGCTGAGAATTCGTCCGCTCCCGAGGCTGAGCAGGGCGGGGCTGAGTAAATGCCGGCTTACCATCTTTACCATCATCCGGGTGAGTGAAGTGCCCGCATGGCCTCTGGCTTTTGAGTATGACATTCCTAAGTCAGATCCATCTCCTTTTATTAATGCAAAAAATTAAAAATGAAAAAAATCCATACCATTAATCTTAATGGTTTTAATCTTAAAATAACCTAACCGTTAGCATCAGAACCATGCTTGACCCATTTCAGCCCCTTCAGTTCTAACACTGGGAGGCCTACCTCTATCATGATGTATCTTTAATATTAGAGCTTTTTGCCAACATTTCTGAATGGATTTTGAGATTCTTTTCATCAAATAAGCTAACAGGTCTTTTTTTTATTTCTCCTACGCGGTTAATTATACTGTTTGTGTTGCTTATATGTCACTTTCAAAAAGCAAGATGATAGTGACTAATCAAGATAACAACTAGTATTTGGAGGAAGTGGTAGCTTTCACATCCCTACCATCTTTTTAAAATAATAGCTTTATTGTATTACATACTTCATAAATTATTCACTCGGTCTTTTTAAGAAGAGCTGTGTAGTCATCACCACAATCAATTTTGGAACATTTTCTTGTTCTCATTAGCTACACCATACCATCTTTTGATGGTATGTGTTTATTTTATTTGCTTTTGGGAAAGACTGACTGACAAGGCCTAAGTTCCTAAAATACAGAATCTGCTTCTAGGAAACTGGTGCTTATGACCTATTTAAAATACTTGGCAACTCAAAAACAAAAACAAAAACTTGCAACTCGGGTGATTGAGTTTTGCTCTGGCTACTACAGCTTTATTGGCTCACTGGTTTTTTTACCCCTCAGTGCTCCAAAATTAAGGTATTACTTGGCATTCAACTTTCTACTTCATACTGAGCATCATTTCTGGCTCAGGAATTTTTCTTCTGTTTTTTTCTTTCCTCTATACTGTGTGTTTGCATAAGGCCTTCCACAACCCTGAAGTAACAGCATAGTGGTTTCCATCCCTATTGTGTCCTGGGCTAAGTGAAGACGAAATATGTTGAGGCCATCCTATATTTAGCCAATGTAATATGGAGCAATTGATATTATAAATGAGGTGGATATTGTTTGTTTGTTTTGCAGTTTAGTCATCCAACAAGAAGAAATGAATATGAAATTCCAGCAATAAGAAATGAACAAAAGATTGGAGCTGAAGACCTTAAGTGCTTGCTTTTTGCCCATTGACCAGATAACTAGAACTATCTGCATTATCTATGCAGCATGGGGTTTTTATTATTTTTACCTAAAGATGTCTTTTTGGTAATAACAAACGTGTTTTTTAAAAAGCCTGGTTTTTCTCAATACACCTTTAAAGGTTTTTAAATTGTTTCATATCTGGTCAAGTTGAGATTTTTAAGAACCTCATTTTTAATTTGTAATAAAAGTTTACAGCTTGATTTTTTCACAAAAAAAAAAAAGTCAACAAACTGCAAGCACCTGTTAATAAAGGTCTTAAATAATTGTGTTTGTGTATATTTCTGACTTGTTTTCTTTTATGTCACTAGCTGATGTAAGACCTGCAGCTTAAGCAGTGTGCAAGTAGATGAGACTTCGTGGTCATTTCTCATGGAACATCTTAAAATATCATCTCTTATTGCATGACACAAACGGGGTTCATATTAAGATCCAGGACATTTTTACTGATACTTTAGCCTTTGTTCATTTAAAGAGAACTTAACTAACGGTAGGTACTCTACTTTGACCTCTACTTTGTGTTCACCCGAAGGATCAAATAGCATCCCTGGGATCTTTGTGGAGAGAGCACTGAAGTGTAGAGGGTCCCCAGCATATTAGAGCTATACCCATTTGCCTTAGGGTTATGGTCTGGGGTTTTACATATTTTAACAAGTACTACACAATGTTGCTGGAGCATATCATTTGCTGGTGATCTCAAATGTTCATTTGCACCTGTTCAATGTAATTTTACAAAGATAGTAAGAATTAGTAATTATGAGAACAAAAAGGAACTTGTGTCAGAAGCAGTTTAGAGTTGGCATGGAACTGACCATAAGTCGGGTACTACCTATGCTAGGTTAAGTGGTTTGGGTATTGGAAATGGGAAGTTCTAGTTGCACACTTCTAGATGTATGAAAAACAGGTAATTTTTATGAGGTGCTTTAAATCCATCTTTACCAGTCAGTGTGGATTTGTTGACAGACTGAATCCACTTAATGATCATCTGAGCAAGATGGAAGTGCAGTAGTTTGTATCTTTTCTTGCCTGTCATGGCAAATCAGACAAATTCTGGTCAGAAAAACTGCCCATTTTCACTGCTTTGATCTCAGTCATGCCAAATTGATTTGGAAAGTTGGTTTATCTTTCACTGCAGAACTAAGTGGAAGAAAATGTTTTTCTATTTTTTAAACTAAATTTTTGTGTTCAATTATAATTATAAATTGAGAGTAAATTCCCATACCCTGCCTTTTCCTGGAGAGTGACATTCTAGAATTAAGCCGAGACAGCAGTTTTTAACCTATTTTGTCAGTTTCTATCTAATTGGTGTTGGTTGCTGTGGAGATCATTGGAAGAATTGCCCGTGTTTATAAAGTGTTGCTCATGTTATGGATGCAGCCGTGGAGAGGAGAGCATGTATTCTCTCCTGGAGGCTGAATTGCTCCACTCTATCACCATGGGCCAGTCCAGGCACCCTCCAACTGCGGCCCACCGAGGACATTTATCCAGCCCGCCGGGTGTTTTTGCCCTGTTCCTTTTTTTACTTCACAATAAGATGTGTGCAGTGTGCATAGGAATTGGTTCATCTTTTTTTTTTTTAAACTATAGTCTGGCCCTCCAACGGGTCTGAGGGACAGTGAACTGGCCCCTGTTTAAAAAGTTTGAAGACCCCTGGGCTAGTCAGTTTAACCTCTTACCAACTAAAAGTAAAGATGATAACAGACTGCTAGAGAAGATGAGGTTAGTGAGGCTATTTTTAATCTTGTGAGATGTGTGGGAGCCCTGGTGGTGTAGTGGTTGTGTTGAGCAGTTCAAACCCCCAGCTGCTCTGAGAAAAAGATAGGGCTTTTATTCTCAGTCGTTCACCGGGGCAATTTAGCCTGTGCTAGGGTTGCTGTAAGTCACTACTAATTCAGTGTTTGGTGAGGTGTTAGGTCTTTATGAAATACATGCATACCTTGTTTTGTGCTTTGCAGAAGCTTTTTTATAAATTGAAGTTGGACAGCAAGCCCACGTTCAAATCTGTTGGCCCCATCCATTTTGCCAGCAGCATGTGCTCACTTCATGTCCCGGTCACGTTTTTTGGTAATCCCAGAGTTTCAGGTACTTAACAATACGATTGCACACTTACAGGTATTGTGGGGGAAATGATCACACATTTCTAATAGGCAAACCAGTTTTATTTGGTGTAGGCAGCAAAGAAGAGAAAGGTGGGGGAACAGACCCTGCCGTGACTCAAGAACAATACAAGACCAGCCACACACATGCTTTCCTGGCCTAATTCTGAGGAACTCCCCTAAGCCAACCTCCACAGGTCTTCCTGGGGGTCTGCTCCAGTTGTGCTTTGTGCCTTCCCAAATTCATCAGGGACTTTGAATGTGTCACTTTATGATTCTCCAGAGCTGATCCTGGTCACCTAGGCAGCTTCAGTGGCCAGAAGAGTCTGTAAAGTACTCGAGGTGGTGCTTGGAGTATGCAGAGGTTTAGAGTGGTTTCTGTGTAGGCTGCAGCCTTCTGACAAATACCTTTTGGTTCCAGGCACACAAATACAGGCCATATATATAGCTTACAGTCTATACATAACTATAAATATAACGTGCACTAGGAAACCGAAAGAGACATCATTTAATGGCAGTATTTGCTTTCTTGCGGTGGTCTGAACAGTATGTATACTGCACATGGGTCAGTGTATTGAACGTGCTGCCCCCAGACCCATTCTAGGTCATCTTGGAAGTACAGTAAGCTAGGATGGCACATCCAGGGAGCTGGGGTGGGTTATTGAGTTGATTGCAGCTTGTGGATGACCCCATGTGAAGAACATTGGGATGGGGTTTTCAAGGCTGTCATATTTCAGAAGCATCTTATCAGCTAGTGGTATAGCGGTTAACTACAGGAGAGTTAAGAAGTTTATGGTAAACAAAAATTAAAGATGTGCTTTGGAATTTTTCCATGAAATAAATTGGCATGCCTTCTGAGGTGCTTCTGGACTCAGAATACCAACTTTTGGATGTTACTAATTGACCTCTTGCTCCAGGGTTAGGGACTCTGAAATTACCGTATATACATGTGTATAAGTTTTTCAGCACATCTTTTAGGCAGTTTTGTGGTAAAATTAGGTGCCTCAGCTGATACTCTGGTCGGCCTGTACTAGAGTATATGCGGTAGTTGGGTGAGTGCAATGGAATAGATCTTTGCCTTTGTGGTACAAATGCCATTTGTAAATACACGTGCTAGGGCATATGTACCTTGGCAATGATAAGACCAACAATTTAGGTTAATTGTTTACAACCATGATTAGGAAAACAAGTGACGAGAGTTCTTGTGACATGGTCTCTGTCCAGCCTAAGATTTCTAACAAAAGACAGTAGGCACTGTTCCACTGTGGCCAGCAAGTCACTTTCCACAGTAGATGAAAGAGCTGGTAGTCCCCTTCCTATACTGCAGGTCAAGGACTTTATTCCCAGCCAGCAGGAATAGGTCAGTGAGGTTTGTCAGGTATCACATGGTGCCCGTGTGTTGGCAGAACAGGAAGTTAGTGCTTGCTAGAGTGACTCCCAGATAGAAGATACTGGGAGAAATAATCTAGTTTCCTACCCTATCTGCACAACTTAAGTAAATGCTGTACAGCTCTGATCGATGTTATTTTATTTACATAATACCTGTAGGCAGCACAGTCCTGGTGGCATAATTCCCAGATGCTGGCTTAAAGGGTCCAAAGTCACCTGGTGACTTAAGGGAAACGGGCCTGGTGATCTATTGCCAGAGAAAAACCCTATGAGGCAAGTCTGTCTGATGGGGTCACTATGAATAGAAAATTGGTTCCTGATGTTAGCAGGGTGATCAATCCGGCTTGGCTACCCCAATAATTCCTAATCCAAAGCATCAGAATGAGGTTTAAGGGGGGTGGCGTTTTTCTCCTAAACAGGCCCATGGACCCTCACGCTGCCATTAGAATTTTCAATACCGATTTTGGAGGACCATGAAGTGTGTAGTTGGCATTGTCTTCAGTGTTGACTGATAGCTGGAAATGGAGTGGTAAGAGCGCTTGTCATTTCTGTTCAAATAGTGACAAGAGTCCCAGTTGGTCTGTTTGGCAGCTCTAGCAAAGGTTTGACTTAGCATTATCAGACTTTGAGAAAGCAAGTCTTGTGAATTGGTCCATTCTTTAATGGGGTGGACTATATGGTAATGGGCTCAGTGGCAATAAAAAATGGCAACTTGATTGACACAATTCTCTTGTATGGGCATCAAAGTGAATGATGAAGTGAAGTGTCTTAATTTGCATGCTGTCAGTTGTTAGCACCACACACACACACTGGGGAGCTCTTCGTGTCATTAGTTGGTCAGTCACCTGTTGTAGATAACCTTGACTAGTGGCACCCAGAGGAATGTCAGAATGTGGCACATCTGGGCTGTAGCCAAGCAGGCTCACTGAATGGCTTTTTTTATTATTGGTGGTTAGGGCTGCCAAGAACAGTGACTGGCCAACCAGCCTAGGCGCCTCTCAGGAACTACACTAGTCAAAGCATGTCTCGACTCAGGCTTGATGGCCCAGCCTGCCTGCCTTTGTCATGGTCTTACATAGGGCCTGTGATGAAGATGCCATCAGTATAATAGATGACCAGACCGTTTTAGGAGTAATGGGTTATAAAAATCTGCCCCTAAGCGCTGGTGACCTTGCAGACAGGGAGTTAACTATCTTTGCAGAAGCACAGTACTGGTATACTGTAGGTTATCCCTTGTGGATTTAAATTGCTTCTGAGCATCCCAAAGTGGTAGTAGCTTGAGTATCAGTCTCCTGTGTGGTCTGCCACTGCCTTAGTGACAGCAGTAATGTCGGTCACAAGGGCCAAATGAAGCACAGCACCAATGTGTGGTAGAGACTTAAGCTCCATGGCCTTTTTCACAGGCTAGATTGTGCTGTTAAACTGTGACAAGGCGATAATGGCATATGACACTCCTGACTCACTGCCATTGGCTTGATTCGCACTCAGCAACTCAGGGTGGTAGAACTGCTCCTTCGCATTTCCGGGCTATAAATCTTTATAGGAGTAAAAGTTTCTTGTTTCTCCTGAGCACTACCTGGTGGGTTTGAACTTCCAACCTTGCAGTTGGCTTCTCAGTATTTGTTGAATAATTCAGTGGCGCTGAAATAATTTGGGAGTGGACATGCCCCACTGTTTGGGCACTGCTGTTTTGTTGTGAGGGATATCTCCCCAGCAGTAGTGATAATTTGTGTTATATACAGCTAAAATGTCTACCCCTGTGATGCATTTAGTAGTAGGAAC